AGGGACGCCAGGGGATTGTCAAGTGCGGGGGGGAAAAAGGAGAAACATGTAATACTCTTTGTAATAATTTAAGCAATAAAAATATATATTTAAAAAAAAAATGAATCTATACTAATAAAGAGCTAATATGCAAATGGTCAATACGCCCTAAGGGGTAATGACCAGGTCATTAGCATATTAGCTGGGGCGTTGCTCCAGAGATGGAGAGGGGGTGGAAGCAGGGAGGTGCCCGGAGGAGGCGGGACCATCCCGTGCGGTGGAGGGCAGGGGTGAGAGCGCATAGCGACCCCTCACCAGTCCTTCGCCACCCACCACTCACACTCTGAGTGCCCCCGGGCCCACCTGCCAGGGGAAGGAGCACAGCGCAGCAGGCAAGAGGCTCCCATGCTCTCCTCCAGCGCCATGATGGGGCAGAGCCACCGCGTTGCTCAGGAAATGGGTTGCTTGAGGGGAGGTGCCCAGAGAAGGTGGGACCAGCCCAAGGCCACTAGAGGGACTGAGGGCGGGGCTTGAAGCAGCCAGAGAAGGCCAGAGGGTTTGGGGGCTGGGCCAGGCGCGCTGGAGCTCTGCGTGGAGAGGTTCGCGTGTCAATTTCAAATCGTGCGCTGAGATCCTAGTCTATATATATTAGAAGAAAATACATGAAAAACTAATATTTTAATTTATTTTCCTTATAATTTATTTTCTTTTTGTATCCTCATCCAAGGATATGTTTATTGATTTGAGAGAAAGAGGAAGTGAGAGAGAGAGAGAAAAGAGAGAGGTGAGAGAGAAACATTGATCGGTTGCCTTCCATTATAGTGCTCTGATGGGGGTCAAACCTGTAATTAAGAATATACCCTGACCTGGAATTGAACACACAACCTTTTGGTGTACAAGACAAAGCTCCAACCAACTGAGCAACCTAGTCCGGGCCCTTATAATTTATTTTCTTATAATCAATCACTTTAATATTATATTGTAATAAATGAAAAAATTATAGTTTCAAAATTATGAAATGAAAATTAATTGCTTTGTCTTTTATTTTATTTTTTGTTTTTAAGTTTTTTGCTTAATTTGAATTTACTCTCCATGAATTTATTTGGAGAAATTGGGATTCCAAGTCAATTATAAAATGGAAGAGAACTTTTTGGGAAAAAATATATTAAGTTTAAAAAGAATAGGAAACAGACAAAACAATACAAAAGAAAAACACATTTTTATGAGTGTGCATAAGGACAAAAGTTACTGTTAGACTGATACAACTCCCACATGTGCTAACCTAAAGAAAAAGGCCAAAGGGAGAGGCAACAAGATCTAAAAGATAGCTATCCTGGAAGCACTGATTCATTCAGAAACTCAAATAATGTTTCAATTAGGACAGTGGTTCCCAAACTTATTTGGCCTACCGCCCCCTTTCCAGAAAAAATATTACTCAGCGCCCCCTGGAAATTAATTTTTTTAAAATTTTAATAGCAATTAAACAGAAAGATATATGTATTAATGTTTCTACCTTTTTCGTAAAATATAGTAAAGAAAGGTGTAAATTAGAAACATTGAAGTTTGAAATTATGAAACTATTTATTGAACTCAGAATAGAAAGGTAATACATTATAAACATGATATTATTAATTGTAAAGCGCATATAATTATTACAAAATAAATAAATAATACTCACCAATTATAGTCGCACTATTTGTTAGTTAACTTTAACTTGTCACAATATCACAACAATCTAACTTAGAGTTTTATTACGCCGTAATTTTCCCGTAATAATTACGGGAAATCTCCTGATTCATAGCGTGCTCCCAAATCTGCTGGTAGTACTGCCAGTAGCCAGTACTGCGGCTGCCGTTCCAGGCTTTGGCCTTGCGATCGACCAATCACACGAGTGGCAGTTGCCCACAGCAATGCTCGTAGTGCTCACATGTTTTGGACGGCAATTCAGTGGCACCATGTGAACAGTAGCAGTGCGCGATTGCACATACCTCAATGTAAGTGAGGGAGTATGCGGGAACCGAGCCAATGTCCAGTACGTTATTCAAAGAAAAATTAAGCATTATGAGCGGAATACATAAATCAATTTTTCTAAATCTTCTCTTCTTTCTTTTATGCTTTCACCGCCCCCTTACAGTTATTCATCGCCCCCAAATGCACCTGTGGCCATCACCGCCCCCCTGGATCGCTGCAGCGCCCACCAGGGGGCGGTAGCGCCCACTTTGGGAATCACTGAATTAGGAGATGGAGGTAAGGAATGTTAATGGAAAGGAAAGGCGCACAATGACATCAGCAGAAGGAAGGAACTTCTATAGATGCAGATGAGCTGACAGTGACACTAATTATAATGAATTTTAATTTTCAGTCTAGGAGTCATCAGTCTGATAGATAATATCTGCTTTCTTGTTGTCTTTCTAAAGTGTCCTTTGGGACACAATGTTGCTTTAGGCCCAGTCCAAAGGTTATTTTTTGCCCTGTTTTAACTTTTCAAAGGTTTGAGGAATCAGACCTGCAAAGCAGTGCCTTGGGGATGGCGGCTCTGACTCCATTTTAAAGTGGCTCCGTTTATCTTTATTTTTTACACGTTTTCTTTTTCTGTTCACTCAAGCCATTCTTGTACCTGTTGGGAGACTGTCCTTTTCACAAAAGCCTGATGATGTGAATAATAGAACATTTGATGTGCTCTTGGTGCATATATGGTGATATCAATCTGAATATCCAAAACAAATGTTGGTGTGGGTTACCAGTTCCACATCTGTGAGGTGACATCAATAGTTCATAACTGGTTATACAAATATGATTTTAGTAATACTTGGCTATTCACTCAGTTTTAAAATTATAATGAATAATTCAAAAGAGGAGGGGAGCAGTGTCACAGACCTCTGGATTCAATTCAATTTAGTTTATTCTTATAGTCCCATGATCATGGTGAGTGGCTCATGGTATTTTTGGTTGATGAAATATTTTGCTGCAACTATTCATGATAAACACATATTTAAAAGACACCTGTCTGAAGTATCAAGTTTCTTAGTGTCTATTTTATAACTTTAGAAATACTACACTTGGTACTATATTCTGGCAATTCCTGCTCTAGTGCAAATGTGGGAAGCTTACAAAAATACCTTAAAGAATAAATTAATATTTGAAAAAAGAGTTGAATTTCAACTTGCATGAAAGACATTTTTGCAATAAATAGAATCCTTAATAACAATATAAAGCGTCAAACACTTGGGGCATTTAAAATTAAAACAACACCAGCCAACGTGTTTAGTGCTTACTGTATTGCAAGACACAGGAGAAAACAATATTTTAAGATTCTTCGGAGAGAAAATGTTTAGTTCACTTGAGAAGTTGCCCTTACTGCCCGACTTTCACTTTGGTAGAATGAATGCTCTTTTATTTCTCCCTCCATCTAGATACAAATCCTTTGTCAGGCTCCAAACAGTATTTCAGAATAAAACCTAAAGAGGAACAATAGGAAGCCAGTGCAGGCCAGGTAAAGCACAGTAATTACCCTTTGAGCTGTTTTCATTGTTTAGATGAAAACAAACAATTTACCACTGGGAATAATCAGACAGTCAGCAAGGGCTGTCACTCTGGACAAGTCACATAAGACAGCTCTGACGTGCAGTGTGTGGTTTGGGGCTGTCTGACTCTGGGAGGGAGGCCTTGCAATTCACAGCTACTGAACCTAGCCAATACCAAGGAGCCAACTCCCATAACTCAACTCAGCCTGTGGGAATTTGCTCATAAAGTTAGAAATTTGAACCCCATAAAATTGCCATTTTGCAGGTCAAAAAGAGAAAAATTCAGCAATTTTTAAAATACATCAATAATATCTTTCCTTTTGATGAAAAAAAGTAATTGACACCTCTTTTAGGTGTCATTCAGTCCAATAGCTTCATTACCATTTTAATTCTGCAGTGCAAGGCCTGTGCCATAAGAATCGTTTTTGTATATTAATAAAATATTTTGTATACTATAGAGTTTTATAAATAATCAAAGCAATCAATAACATTGTGTCAAGTTAGGTGTCAAAATTATCTTATTCACTAAAATTTTATAATATTCAGAAAGGGAAGTTTAAAGGAGAATTGATCTTTTTATAAGCATTTTTTTTTATTATTTGAAATCTAGATACTCTTAAGCAGCCAATGAATGCTAAGTATAATTATCACAATGATGTCATTGAATATTTCCTGGTTGTATCTGATAATTATTACTTAGATTAAATTTAAATAAAAATCACTTATGGAACGATAATAAATATAATATGGCATCTCAAGAAATATAAGTGGATTGGTATATGGAAATCTCAATATTTTGTGGCAAAGTATAAAAAAAAACGAGACTTCCCAAAATGCTGTCAAAATAAATTTAAAATTAGAGAATAGTCATGAAGTATGGGGCTTGGAAAAGGCACATACATTTTAAAAATAATGTATCTTTACAGGTAGTCATAAAATATTAGATGGCACAATAAATAATTTATTACTATTGTAAACCTTTCAAAAATGTTTCTGATAGGGCATGCTTTTAGTGATGATTGGAACACCTAAAAGATTGCCATATTTCAAATGCTATGTATATAATATCAGCTATCCATTCTAATCACATAGAAATGACATTCAATGTGTTATATATTAAAAACAGCAACACTGATCTTTATTTAGCTCTTGATATTTAATGGCAAAAGAGAGCCAGTAACAAAACAATTTTTTAAATTCCATCCTTGACTTATCTTTACTGACTTGTTTTATATTGTGTGGTGGGTTGTTTTTTTTCAAATTGACTTAGCCAATAAATAATCCACTCTTTGTTTTAAAAATCCATTTAAGATGATATAACCAACTCTCTCAATATATTTCTTCTTGGTTGGCATTTTGGTTTTAATACTTCTGCCATGCATTTCTTTTTATTTTATTTATTTATTTATTTTTTTTGGGGGGGGGAATAAGGCTTACCTTTTGGCTGCTTATTTGCTGTAGTTAGCCAAACACTGAGGCACAAATGGAGAAAGCATTATATAGAGGCTACTGCTTACAGGCAAGACAGATGAAAAACACAAGTTTAGGTCCTTCCTGTAGGAAGGTGACTTCACATTAAGTGTAGTCACTGAAAGAAAAAGGAAGCAATGATAATGTAGAGTATGGAAGATCTATTCCCAAAGGTATATGTGCGGGGAAGCAGGCCCTGGGAAGACAATAGATAACTAAAAGGGTAGTGCGTATAGCTACAAGTGCCTCATCATTGGAAAGATAAAAATCACTGACCAATTTAAACAAGCTCTAGCTTGTCAGTTTAGAGTTAGTTGGATACAGTGCAGCTCTGTGCAGCCTGATTGCTTACTTCTTAGTACATTTTGATTTTCAGAAACTGTGCTGGCCCATCAACTCTGGTAGCTTGAGTGTAGACTTGACTCCTCACAATAGTCAAACTATTGTTTCTAGTGATTCCAATTTTTAAAATAATAGTTGCTTATATCATTATTTTTGAAACCATCCCAAATTTCTATCTTTAATTTTTCATATCCTACAAGCACACTGTTCTGAAAATTATAAACTGTAAGAAGCTCAGGCTTACTAACTAAAGGAATTTATTTGCCCTGTTTGAGCTGATTAACAGAAAATTTAAAGCAGGGACACAAAGAGATTATTATTCCTAACTTCTTATTAGATGGGTATTTATTAAGTTTACTATGTATTTAAATAAGAGAAAGAGTGCTTTGAAATGATAAAAGTTGGCATCAACAATGAAAATCTAATCGTTATAATTCTTTGTGCACAGAGTAGCATAGTTATCAGAATTCATAACGCAAGAAATAGAGCTATTTCAGAGAAAAATTAAACACATTTAGCCTAGCCAGAGTGGCTCAGTGGTTTAGCGTCGACCTATGAACCAGGAGGTCATAGTTCAATTCCCGGTCAGGACACATGCCCAGGTTGCAGGCTCGATACCCAGTGTGGAAAGTGTAGGAGGCAGCCAGCAATTAATCATTCTCTCTCATCATTGATGTTTCTATCTGGCTTTCCCTCTTTCTTCCTCTCTGAAATCAATAAAAATACATTTTTTAAAATATCATAAAATATGATATTATTACTTAGGAATAAATTTTACTAAAGATGTCCAAGACTGATATACTACAAACTCCAAGGCATTGCAGAGAGAAATTAAAGACTATGGATGACAATACTGAATATGTTTAAACGTCAATTCTCCACAAATTGATATGTAGATCCAAAGGATTGTTACCAAAGTCCAGCAAACATTTTGGATAACTTTATAAGTTGATTGTAGACATTAATTGGACATACAAAGGGCCTAAACAAAACAACTTTGAAAAAGAAAGACAAAGTAGAAGGAAATACATTGACTTCGTGATATTATAAAACAACTAGAGGCCTGGTGCACTGGGGGGCGGGGGGGCAGGGGTCCCTCAGCCCAGCCTGCACCCTCTCGCAGTCCGGGACCCCTCGGGGGGATGTAGTCGTGCTCCAAGCAACAGGTGGGCAGGGTGGAGCCCAAATCGGGGCCGGGCACTGTGCTGCTTGCACTTACCCCAGCCCACTGGACCTGCTGCAGCAGAGTCAGGAGAGTCTCCTGCCCTGGCAGCTGCGCTCGCCAGCTGTGAGCCTGGCTTCTGGCTGAGCCGCCCTCCTCCTGTGGGAGCACATTGACCACCAGGGGGCAGCTCCTGTGTTGAGCTTCTGCCCCATGGTGATCAGTGCGCATCAGAGCAACTGGTCGTTCTGGTCATTCCGCCATAACTGTCGCTTAGGCTTTTATTATATAGATAAAAACAATAGCAATTGAGTTTGGGATTTGGCCAAGACCTTTTGGAAAAAAACAGTGACTTGCTTTTTTGCCAACTTTCAATTATTTTTTCTTCCTAACTACTCACTGGGGCTCATGTTTGGTGCTGTTTCCTACATCATATGTGGTTTTGACTTTTCCATTCCCTTGATTTTTGTCTATTCTGTGATGCAAACAATGAATAAATCAGTCTTAACTATGACTTAATAATAGTCTTAACTATGGGATATAGGAGGGATGCTAAGCAAATCAGTATGTTTTAGAAATATATAAAACTGCTAAGAAATTATTATTATTTTGGCAGCAAGCAGTTAGAAAGGAGACAACACCTCTTCTTTGTGTGTTCTAACAACTGTCCTTAGGAATCATTTGTGGCCTACCATGTGACTTAATTTACACTCTTTCAGAAGAAAGCCAAGGCTGGTCATGACAGCTATACACAATACACCCCTAAGATACTCAAAATTATTTTATTTGCTCCTCAGGAGCTTCCTCAAGGTCCATTTTTCTACGAGCCCATGCTGTGGTAAACAGCTGATTTCTCAGAATAAAGCATTACTTCAAATTGAGTATTTTTTTTGCATTTGTTGCAATAAGGATGTTTCCCTTAACTTATAGACCTTAGTGAGATCAGAGTGTTTCATGGTCTTGTAAATTGCCCCATTAGGTATCAGATTTCACTCTTTCCAGTTAATTAACATGGAATAGTCTTCAAAAGTGGGCAAGGGACAACTGTCAATGTTTATGGGTATCTTGCAATTGCAACTGAATAGCAATGGTGAACACATTTCAATCAACTGGTCATTTCTTACGTCAGCCAATTTAGTAATGGTATATGAGATACAGAGAAGAGATGGCTCATTTATGACAACTTC